TCGTATATTATCGATTTAATGTTTTATTTTTCTGCATGGATGCAGTGAGGTGCCGACCCTTTCAAGACACGCTCTCAAACTCAAACACTTGTACTCGGAACTTTGCTTCGAAAAGTAAAGAAAACGACTGAGAAGAAAGAGTATGTACGCGCGAGTTGTGTAGCGCCATCTTCAGCTTCATCGGCCACATCGTACCAACGTCGATCGGCAACGCAATCAATGAAAGTCTAGCAAGCTCCTTCCAAATTTGACTTCTGTCGATGTCTTGAGCTTCTCCACTGGGATCTGTTTCAAATGCTGAGTTTCTGAGTGATCGAAGTACCCGCACGCTTTAGGTGAGCTATGATTTAGATTTAATATAAAATGGCTTAACGGTGATAACTGCCAACGCCACTGGCCTGGCTTTGCACTGGCTAGTGGCATTCACCTGCAGTGTTCCCCCACAGTACTGGGTAACGTTCGAGCTTGAATTCGATGAACGCTTGGATCTTGGATCTTGGATTGGATTCCTCCGGAACATAGCCTAGGGCCTATACCTAACGTTACATGTACATGTCATTGGCAGTGTAGACTAGGCCAGGGCGGCTCATTAAGCCTAGTAATTCTGTAGAACTAGAAGTCTAGACTCAAGCAGATTTTGGGAGACTCCCAACCATTAACCATTGAGATTTAACATACAAAACAAAAGAACAAAGATTTAATAATACTAGTCTAGATCTACTGACAATAATTTTCCCAGCTGGATCAATGTTAGACCGAAAGCTTCAGTCTCTATACCGTCGGTTGTTCCACTGAGACTACGTCTGGCTCCACTAGACCTCCGGTTAGGGAGGCCAATGCCCAAATCTAACTTTTTAATTACTAATTTGTTTATACTAAAACTAAGATTAAAAGAAAGCATTTACTTTCACTAAGAAAATCCACCCATCTGCCGACTCCATAGGTTCCATCAAATAGGAGATATCCAGCTGGTTTGTAGCCAATTCCTTCTACGCCTTTCCGTACGTAAGAGCCTTGAAACAATTATATTTCATGTCGCAAAGTTACGTTCATAATTAGACAGGCCCGAGGGACAAAGTTCATGATGAAGTTTAAAACTTCGCGCGAAAGTGCAATCACTCAACAGCGGCTAGCCTTGAATCGGTCGCACACGTACACACCTTCTTCTTCTTAGTTGATCCCTCCACCGACACAGGCAACCCCCGATGCAGGCTGAAGTCCAGCCATCAATGTGCGAACGATTACATCTTCTACTACTACGAGCCGAAGACGATGGTTCAAAAAAAGGAAGAAATATATATATTCATTGATATTTACCTTGATGTGTATTCCAATAATTTGATTTCCTCATGAGTATTCCTTATTATCAACGATCGAGAAGTTACGAGGTCCAATTAAAATCCATCTTGCAGCGAACACAATCATAGCGAACATCCATGCATGCAACGTACGTGTACTAATATTTCTCTCACTCTCTCTCTCTCTCTCTCTCTCCCTTTCGCTATACGTAACATACACACTCACTAACCATGTATCATACAATGATACAACACACACCTTCAAATCATGGCTTTCATTTCAATTCTCAATTGGAGTATAGACTGCTCACGTAGACTTTTTTTTTTACTGAAATATCTTTTTTAACACTTCTCATACATTACTGCACGACACTCGTATCTAGTGCTGTGAGAATAAGGTACTAGGGTCTATAAATAAGACTACGCTTTGCGCACGATCTGACCGGAGCTCAGATTATGTCGCAATACCCTTTATTTTTGGCGCGAACAATGACGTCACTGTTCACTGTTTTCCTTCTCATTTTGAGATGGATGTAGTTATAGGGCTCAAACCAACGCAAGATTGACAGAAACATCGTACTCTATCTACTTTCGAATGTTCAGTTTGTAAAAATCTGTATTTAAAAAGATATAATCTTTTTTCTTTATATTTTCTAGTTGTAAGAAGTGGCAATTGTGAACATCTGAAATGTTGATCTCTATCAAAAGTTCTTTACTCAAAACGGATCCCATATTTTAGGGTCTACCTTCTGCCAATGAGAAGGTTTTTAGTGAGCAAACCTCTACGCCCTCTAGGATTTTCTTAGTCGGTGGTGCGAGTGCGTCAAGGTCGTCTGCAACCACAATTATTGGATTAAAAAACGTCAAAATCTGCAAGATTGTCAACAAATGGTGAAAGACTGTTACAGATCCGTGATTATAGGTATGTTGTGAAATGTATAATTGTATTTTCTTTTCATATTTTCTTCAATTTTTATTTTTACATCATTTTTTTCCCTTTGCTAATTTTTTGAAGTGGGCGACGAGCGCACAAATCGTAGGTGTAGAAGCCTTACGCCGGGCATTGGCCTCCTACTCCGGTTATAGAGACAGAACGACTGCCTATGCCAGCCTGTGTTGAACTTATTCCGCTAGATTTTAGCCGCTAGGCCCCTCCCACAAACTTGCCACGGCCGTATTGTTATGCCCCAAAATCCCCCAAAATGTCATTTTACCTCGTCCATATCCAATTTTAAATTAGGCCTAGGCTATAATACATCGGTTCCACTTACTAATTTGATGTAAATAATCCGTTTAATGGTCCCTTTTAAGGAAATTATGGGTCAAAATCGACATCCATGTTGAAAATCTTGCAAGCCGTGTTAAACTCTCGTTGCCGTCAATCTCATCCCTTCTAGTCTACGCCGAAGGCAAAATGATTATGAAGGAAAAAAACTGTGATAACGCCATTACGAACGTGTAGATGGCGCACAGTTTTTCCTTCATTATCATTTTGCCTTCGGCGTAGACTAGAAGGGATGAGATTGACGGCAGCGAGAGTTTAACGGACGGCTTGCAAGATTTCAACATGGATGTCGATTTTGACCCATAATTTCCTTAAAAGGGACCATTAAACGGATTATTTACATCAAATTAGTAAGTGGAACCGATGTATTATAGCCTAGGCCTAATTTAAAATTGGATATGGACGAGGTAAAATGACATTTTGGGGGATTTTGGGGGCATAACAATACGGCCGTGGCAAGTTTGTGGGAGGGGCCTAGCGGCTAAAATCTAGCGGAATAAGTTCAAACACAGGCTGGCATAGGCAGTCGTTCAGTCTCTATAACCGGAGGTCTAGTGGAGCCAGACGTAGTCTCAGTGGAACAACCGACGATTATAGAGACTGAAGCTTTCGGTCTAGATCAATGTTTGCCTCTGACTTTGATTGAGTGACATCAGGACAGGAGCCCATGGCATTGGTTATGTGTGTGAATCATAACAAAACTGTGTTATGGAAACAGAAGTAGAGCCACTAGAGGGTCAAAGAATAAGGGGGGATACTTTCCGAGGAGTCTGCTCTTCATGTTTTTATCTTGAGCTAAGCTTAAGGACATATCTACATGTAGATCTATGTGCAGCAAATGTAAAAGTGTGTCTGTGGAAATGAATGAGCAGTGATTTCCTAATCCATGAAAGACCTTTAACGTTACATACAAATATGAAAGGGTCAAGTTTTAAAGATAAAGACCAGTTAGGGTCATGCGATTCCATTGTGAAAGAAGCATGGAATCGATTAGACCGAAAGCTTCAGTCTCTATACCGTCGGTTGTTCCACTGAGACTACGTCTGGCTCCACTAGACCTCCGGTTATAGAGACAGAACGATCGCCTATGCCAGCCTATGTTGAAGATATCACGGCTAGATTTTAGCCGTTAGGCCCCTCCCACAAACATGAACAAACTTGCCACGGCCGTATTGTTATGCCCCCAAAATGCCCCAAAATGTCATTTTACCTCGTGCATATCCAATTTTACATTAGGCCTAGGCTATAATACATCGGTTCCACATACTAACTTGATTGAAGTAATCCGTTTAATGGTCCCTCTTAGGAAATTATGGGTCAAAATCGACATCCATGTTGAAAATCTTGCAAGCTGTGTTAAACTCTCGCTGCCGTCAATCTCATCCCTTCTAGTTTACGCCGAAGGCAAAATGATTATGAAGGAAAAACTGTGCGCCATCTACACGTTCGTAATGGCGTTATCACAGTTTTTCCTTCATAATCATTTTTGCCTTCGGCGTAGTAGACTAGAAGGGATGAGATTGACGGCAGCGAGAGTTTAACACGGCTTGCAAGATTTTCAACATGGATGTCGATTTTGACCCATAATTTCCTTAAAAGGGACCATTAAACGGATTATTTCAATCAAGTTAGTAAGTGGAACCTATGTATTATAGCCTAGGCCTAATGTAAAATTGGATATGCACGAGGTAAAATGACATTTTGGGGGATTTTGGGGGCATAAACAATACGGCCGTGGCAAGTTTGTTCATGTTTGTGGGAGGGGCCTAACGGCTAAAATCTAGCCGTGATATCTTCAACATAGGCTGGCATAGGCGATCGTTCAGTCTCTATAACCGGAGGTCTAGTGGAGCCAGACGTAGTCTCAGTGGAACAACCGACGGTATAGAGACTGAAGCTTTCGGTCTAGGAATCGATCAGAAAAGGTTGATCATCTAGCATATAGTATTGGTGTGTACTGCAAGGTTCTAGAATCATCAAAATGATAAGAAATTTGGCCCAGTCTTGGTAAAGTTACAAGCACCGTACACAGAAAGATGTGTATGGGACTACGTGACACGTGCGCTATATCTATCAGGTCCAAATAGATATGTTAATCTACAAATTTATCAATTAGTAGGCTGTTTCTCGGCAAAATTTGTATCATCATGTATTAGTCAAAACATATTCTTTCACAAGATTGGTAATAAGAGCTTCCATTTCATTTTTGAGAGGGAGGCATTTCCAAAACTGGTCTTTACCTTTAACTAGACGGTCCCCTAAGTGACATGACTAATATTCCTATGAGGGGCACGGCTATATCCATGACAGATATTCAGTTACAGATTACATATACAAAATTGCAGAACTTGTCTATAGACAGCTGATGATTTATGTAATGATTGATTGTTAATCTCTGTTTCTCTTCTTCACACAGGATGAATGAACCACAGGGAGTCAGCTCGTTACCTCTGCCTCCTATGATGTACATAGCTAACTACTCTGATGATAGAGTACTTAACAAGACCACACCAAGCCTCCTCTACCTGTGCAAGAAGCGTATGGAATGTTTGGAGCTAATTTCGTTTCTAATGATGATATTATTCGTCCTCTTGAGTCACAGGGTCTTAAACGTCTTCATCCGCAGCGTTTCGATCATAAGAAGGAGCTGAAAAAAATCAACCATTCTATTCTAGTCAACTTTCTAGACCTTATAGACACGCTTATTGTCTGTCCGAATGGCCCAAGACGAGAAGAAAAGTTGGACGATATGAACTTGCTCTTTATTCACATGCATCATTTGATCAATGAATTTCGTCCACATCAAGCGAGGGAGACATTGCGCGTCATGATGGAAGTACAGAAAAGACAAAGACTTGATACAGCAGAGCGGTTCCAAAAACACCTGGAGAAAGTAACAGAGATACTTCAAGGTTGTTTTACATCATTACCTGAGAATGTGGAGAACATTGACAGTAAAGTCGCTGCCAAGATAGAGCCAGAAGCAGCTGAAATTATGGCCAGAGCAAAGGGAAATGATGTCGTTGTTAAGAGAGAGACTGAAAACAAGATAGATAAAGAAAAGAATGATGGATCTCGCTACAAGGATAAACTCATGTGTGATCTTATTGATCAACTGTAAATCAGTTGTCAAGAGACTTGTTTTTAAACATCCATTATGGATGTTGATTACTTCATTGATTAGGTCTATCTTCAGAATATATTGACAGATCAGCTCACTATGATTTGTAGTTATTTTTGTTTTGAATGAAGATACTGTACCAGTGTTGATTCAGGCCACAGTGCCAAATGATGTCAGTGTAAGTTTTGTTTTGTCATAATGAAGTAGATTCTGATGTAAAAATGTTGAATATCATGAATCCTGCTAACCCTCTACAGTGTACATACACATTTATAGGGAGCTCAGATATAATATCTAGAAACTGGAATATCTCATCTTGTTGGACTCCTGCTAGCCTTGGTAAGAGGGGAGGGAGTTAGTGAGGGGGGGGGGGGGGGTCATCCTTGGAATTATCTTCAACTAAGAGTCCTTTCCATAAGACATGTTTGCTTTCAATCTCTGAGCCCACCCTCTCATTAAAGTCATCTTTCAGTCCATGGTCAACTCCTGTAAATTGTCAAATCATGAAAAACATTGTTTCTGAGCTTATACTTATCAGACACAGTGCTGTTTACAGTCATGTGACTGAAGTGAGAGTTGCTACAGGAGAAAGAAATATTAAGTGGAAGGCAGAGTTGTTCAAGACATTGTCCTCTTCATTTCAAGGCTACATGTATTTGAATAAATATGTTTGTAATGATTGTCTATAGATCTACAAAGAATGTCTTTTTCTCTGATGACAAACACCTTTTGCATCTAAACTTAACAGAGGACAATGAATATATTGAGAAGGTTACACTGGTATCAAACGAGATCATTAATTGCTATGAAGCAATCCAAACTTAGTAACCAGCTGCTTTGAAGAAAAGCAGGACAAAAAATCATAGGGATACATTGGTGAAAGTTGAAAGAAATCTGATATATATAAGTAAGTTATGATGTAATTCACTATGTGCATGTACTACATTATATGTCTATTAAAAATCAGCAAATGAGTAACGTCATTTGTTCCATCTCACAATTTACTGAAATACCATTTTTGAAAATTTTACTTGCATCACAGAGTATAATGTTGAATGGATTACCGGTACCTATAAAATAAATACATGCTATCAATATTAAATTGCTTGTAGTGCAGCACTGAAGGTGACTGAGCATAATTGTTAGTCATTCATCAAGAGCGAAGTATAAGCCATTTTGTCCCATACTTTACCAAACCAACCATATCTAAGATTTTAGTATTTCAGATTTTTTACCGTATCAAGCTGAGGGTCCTACTAGAGCTTGAATCAGACAAAATATGGAATAAATTGTATTTTATGTAAATTTATGGTCACCATTTCATAACAGTATCAAATACTTGTTAACTGATCTTTAATATGGGACATACATGTTCATTGTACATGGACTTGCCGAAATGCAAACAGACCATTATAGAAACTAGAAAGGTTCAGAGGATTAAATGAAGATATTTATGATTGAAGTAGACCCTTTAATCCTGGGAGATCTTTATTAACATGTACTCTGATGTACAAATGTATAATGACCCTGTTCAATATGACAATCACATAAGAAAACACTCATAATTCTTTGTAGAGTAGCAGTTACATTTTTTATCACATATAATTCAGGAATAAATGTCAATATCAGGTACATGTAGAACTACAGTAAAGGAGCAGAAGACAGAAGCAGTCTCATATCTATCATTCTTTTCTCAACTGTTTATGAACAAATATGCTAATAAATTACCATTTTTTATGTACAGCAGTGACAACCTGCCTTCTAATGTGTCTTCATTCTAAATTTAAAATTCTTTTAAAGTACAATTGTTTTTGTCTGCATTAATTCTTACTGTAATTTTGTAATTAAATTTCTTAAAGTTAAAGGTGAGTTCTGCCAAAATTGTTAGGCAAATGGCATTTATTTGTAATCTTGAACATTCAGTGTAAGTTTCATATGATTCTGTGAGAATAATTAATACAAAAAACAAACAAAAAACTCACCTTTATCTTTAACCTGACTTAAAACAAGATAAATGCATAAAAGAATAACCAGGCAAAACAGTAAAAGCTTGTGCACACCCATAATAACTGACATTTATTGATATTTCATTTCCTCACATATTTACTAGTCTACAAATTATCATTGTTTACTCACAGAGTTACTCACGTACATGCATTACATTACTTACACATAAATCTGTGTGTTTCTGATCAGCTTTTACCATTTGGGTGTTCCACGACGTGACAGGAGGGGATCTAGAAGATCCCTTTGTGTGTGGGCGGGGTGGGGGAGGGGGGGGGTAGCAAAATTGGTGTGCCCAGTGGTTCTTATATTCATTTTTCTACGAGTCATGCCTCTTCCCAAACCTTCTCTAGAATCGCTACTGCCAGTAAAATGTGTGAATGAACAAATACACGCAGAAAGCTATTCAACTGCATTTGTTCATTTGACATTAAAAAATGTCCAATAGTTTGGGTTGCCAGACAGCCACGCCCCCCCAAAAAAAAAAAAAAAATTGTTGTGTAACATTTTGGGGGTGCCCATAGACGAAACTTCACACTTTTGAACAAGATGCGATAGCTCAGTGGTAGAACAGTGGTCTTGTAATCAGTCATTCTCGTGTTCAAAACCAAGTCGATGTAATTTGCTTAGACAGTAATCTTCATCACCAAGTCCCTCTGCTTGCTTAATTACAAGCATACAATGCTTTCCCAGCAATCGGGTAAAACAAACGGAGCATTTTTTACCATTAATATATTCAATTAATTTTATAAGTAGCGCTATCTTTAGTAGGCCTATTATAATTTCTAAGGTGTAATCTGGTGTCAAATGATCATTTCACTAATAACACGATATCAATTAATTTCAATTAAAAAAAAAACAGACCTAAAACATATATTAATTTAGCCTTGTGCGTCACCTATTGAAAGTGCGAACTAGACAATTTCATATCGCATAATCCAAACAAGACTTATAAATGACAAACTTGTACAATACATGTAGGCTATTGAAATTGCCCCAGAGTTGATTTTTCGAAAACAGTTGCGATCGTGTTTAATAAGTTATAAAATCGAGAAAATTTTGTTAATTTTCAATAGAAGGCAAAGATATGGGGGGGGGGGGGGCTAGGGAGCACTACTTTTTTTTTCTATTTTGACCCTCAACATTTTAAAATCGTGCCAGTCAAAATTTTGCTCAGTGGGGGGAGGGGGTAGGGGGAGGAGTGGCATAGTGAGCGCTTTAAAAAAAAAAACCTCAATCCCCCCCCCCCCCCCCCTATGAGCCAAAAAAAAAATGTAAATTTCTGGTCACATTTTTTTTTAAAAACTTTTTTTTTTGCCCTTCTTTTTTGGGGGGGGGGGGTCAGGTCCGCTCGGCCCCCTGGATCCGCACCTGTTTATATTATTTTGTTTAAAGGACTGGGATAGACCAAGCGCAGAGTGTGGAAAATATAAAAAGGGTTTCTTGTTAGAAGGGAAAATGAAAAGGGGCAATTTTGGATCCTTCAAAAAACTGAGGAAAAAAAAGAGAAAGGAAGTTTAAATACTTTGGGCACATCATGATGAGGAGGGAAAACGCCTTGAAAAGCAAATTATTCAGGGTGCCGTGGAAGGACATTGAGGTAGAGATCGTCTGTTCAGTGGCGGATCCAGGATTTCTAAGAGTTGGGGGGGGGGGGAGAAGTAGTGAGCACTAAAAGAATTGCCCCCAAAATTTGAAAATCGCGCGACCAATATTTCGCTCAGTTGGGGAGGGGGGGGGGGCTAAATTTGATTTGGTGGTTTTGTGGCTCAATTGGGGGGAGGGGGTGGGGGGGGGGAGTGAAAGCACCCCTATCTCAGGACTGCCAACGTTTCTGCACCCCCCTTTCGCGGGCTTTTTCCTGCCTTGGAGACCCACCTAAATCCGGAACACTGCTCAAACTACCCCCCTAATTATGATATTCAAGATATTTATAACCTCTTTTTACAATTTCTCAGGATTCCAAAGAGAGAGAGAGAGAGAGAGAGAGAAAGAGAGAGAGAGAGAGAGAGAGAGAGAAACACTTTTTTGATATTTTATAACTCCTTTTTAAATTCTCAGGAATCCAATGAAAGAAAATACACCCCCTTTTTAAAGAAATCTCCGGGTGAAAAGTCAAATAAACCCTTAACATTTTTTTTTCCACTTATCCCACGGGTAATTGGCCTGGGGTGGTTGCCCAGGGTGTAATTGTCCCCGCTCGACGCAAAAGCAGTGTTTGTCAGTATGCGTAAAGGAGTAAAGGAGGAGCTAGGAGCTAGGAGCTCCTAGGTATTATGTATAATGTTGGCAATGGGTATGGTAATTTCTTCCTCTTTATTAATGGGATGTCGATTGCTGCACAATGCACAACGTCGGTGGCCTGGAGACTTGCAAAAATTATCTCGAGAGTGTATAAACTGATAAATAACACTGAGTGGGGGGGGGGGTGGCGGGGTTGTTATCAGGGGCGTCGCTAGACCTTTTTCAAGGGGAGGAGGGGGGGGGGGGTGTAGAGGACACCGATTACCGACAAAAACTAGCAACCATTTACCGAAAAATATATTAATGCCAATGTCCCAATGTCTAACCCTATAAACCCGGGCCAGGAACTTTAAGTTATTTTTCAGTCCCCCCCCCCCCTCCCACGCGGAAGCTTTGGCACTTCATTAAATTATTAGAGAAAAAAGACGATTCGTTGTACCGTTCTCGACTCTTAATCCTTGTCTGAATTCAGTTTTCCCCCTCCTGCGCAAAGCGCGAAAGCTTTCACGTTTCATTAAATTATTAGAGAGAACGGAGACGATTCGTCGTACCATTCTTTACTCTTAATCCTTGTCTGAATACAGTCACCCCCCCCCCCCTACCCGCGCAAAGCGCGGATATTTTGACGTATAGGAGCCTATCATTCATTTATTAGAGAAAGAAGACGATTCGTTGTACCGACTCTTGATCATTGTCTGGATTTTCAAAAATGTTTCTTTGTCAGATAAAAAGTAACAACTCGTAGGGGAAAAAAAAAATTACCGACCGACCGACATAATACATCTCGCCGACTTTAAACTTTTACATTGATATTATAGTACACGAGGATCGAGCAAGAATACCGACACAGCGGACCCGACATAGCAACATAATTATCTATGAGTATCTTCTTGCTCCCTCGACGTGGTGACTCCACCCAACATCCCCTCTCTCTCTCTCTTACTCCCACCCTCTCCCTCCCCCGTTCTTTTGTTTCCCTTTTCTCTTCTTTTTTCTTTTTCTCCTTTTCTTTCTTTTCTTTCTTTTTCCTTGCTTTCCTCTCCTTCCTATTTTCTTTTTCTCTTTCTTTCTTCTCTTCTTTATCCTTTCTTTTCCTTTTCTGTTTTCTTTTCTTCCCTTTCCCTCTCATTTCCCCTCCTCCTTTTCTCATTTTTCCCGACAGCAGCGCAATTTTACCGACAATATCCTGACAAATGAGGGGGGGGGGTGTCGCACCACCTAGCCCCCCTTTAGCGACACCCCTGGTCAGGGTGTCGATTTGTATCCTCGGTTGGGGGGGGGGGGGGGATGATAGGTGCCAAATATTTTTCGGCAATGGATCAAAGCAACCAAGAGGTAGAGGCGTGTGGCAGGTTGCACCCACTCCCTTCCAAGTTATTTACTTTTCCAAGTCACCCTCAATAAAGATACCATTTTAGAGAATATGGGACCCATGTGAGTCCCACATGGGCTGCTACCTGGGTTATTATCCTCTCAAGCATATAGCAGGATTTAATTTAGGGGGGGGGCGGTAGTGAGCACCTCCTAGGGGGTGGGTGCAGGGAGGGAAAGTTTCCCCCTTCCCGCGCGAAGCGCGGAAGCACTGACGTTTCATTTCAAGATTTCAAGATTTCAAGATTTCATTTATTGTTCAACCATCAATATATATATATATACAATCAAAATAAGTTCATCAAGATTTAGAATAATGCAATGATGGTTGGTGACCCCGGAGAAAGCAGAGCTTATAAAAAAGGGGCCACCAATACATAAAAGATCAACATTAATTATACTAAAAAATATCAACATCGAACATTAATATAAACAAGAAAAAAAAAGAAGAGAAGTACACTTCTGCAGCAGCAACAAAAAAACTGTATCTACATGTATAAGAGGGCAGTACAAATGAAAGCGAACAAGAATATCAAGAATATTTTATAAAGAAGGTAAGATTTCTCTGCTCAGCTTTTTAAATCTGGAAAGAGTTGAGCTGTTTTTGATATTGTTGGGGAGTTTGGTTCCATAACTTAGGAAAATGAATTATAAATGAATTTGAGGCGACGGAAGAACGAACCTGAGGTAAGTGTATTAAATTAATTTGGCGAGTTTGGTAATATTGAGGAATTCAAAACAAAGATATCGCTAAGGAGAGGAGGCAAGATTTTCGAATGAAATTTATACATAAACACAAGGGAATTCAAGGTTATCAGGTCCTTTAACGGTAATATATTTGATTGTGAAAATAAAGGTTTTGTATGACTATTGAAAGGAGCATTAAAGATAATTTGTATTGCTTTCTTTTGTAAAATGCATAATTTATCTAATGGGTTTTAAAGGTGTGACCCCAGACAGTATTACAGTAATTGAAATGAGGGAGTATAATGCTATGTAAAGAGTCGTCAGAATAGACTGGGGCACAAAAAGTCTTAATTTAGAAAGAACACCAATAGATCTTGATATTTTTGTACAAATTGAGCTAAGATGTGGTTTCCAAGAAAGATATTCATTCAAAATTACACCTAAAAACTGCATATTATCGACCTTTTCTATGACATTTCCACCAATAATGAGGTTTGACAGATTTGACGGAACCCTCCTTCCTCCCGCACGAAAAATAATATACCTAGTTTTGTCAAAATTTAAAAACAATTTATTGCAAGCATACCATTTATTTAATTTGTCTAGTTCATTGTTTGCTGATGATATAAGATTGTCAATTTTTTTATGTGATAATGAAACAGTGGTATCATCAGCAAACAAAGAGAAGTTTAGAATTGAAGAACATTTAACTATATCATTAATGTAGACGAGAAAAAGGAGGGCCCTAACACAGATCCCTGAGGAATTCCACAGGATACATCCATATGTTGAGATTTGACACCATCGATCACCACATATTGATTTCTATGTAACAAGTAACTGACGAACCACTGAAGTGGAACCCCTCTATTTCCATAAAATTCTATTTTTTTAACAAGATGTGGTGATCAATGGTGTCAAATGCTTTTGACAGGTCCATAAATACACTAAGACAATAATTACCAACATCTATTTCATGTGATATAGTATTAACCAAGTTCAGTACGCCAAGATCAGTAGAAAAATTCTTTCGAAATCCAAATTGTTGGGTATCAAAATATTGTTTAGTGCAAAAAAATTTATACAGCCTGTTGTAGATTATCCTTTCTAACATTTTTGAAAAAAAAGGTAATAGAGCAATTGGTCTGTAATTAACAATGTCATGTTTGTCACCTTTTTTATATATTGGAATTACCTTAGCGGTCTTGAGATTATCAGGGACAATACCTTGTGACATTGATTCATTGAAGATATAACAAAGTGGATCAACAATTGTATGAATGCATTCCTTAATGACACGTGCAGCAATAGAGTCCGAACCTGGTGCAGCAGATGTTTTCATGGATGAGAGAACATTGATTATTTCAGTATTGGAAGTCGGATTAAAGAACAGTGAACTTGGCAGGCGCGGATCCAGGATTTCTTAGGGGAGGGGGCCCAACTTTTTTTTTTTTTTTGCTCCCGAAATTTGGAAATCGCGCCGGCCAAAAATTCGCTCAGTGGGGGGGGGGGGGGGGGGGGGGGGGGGGGGGGGGGGGGGGTAGTGAGCACATTTTTTTTTTTTTGGTCCTCAAAAAATTTTCAATTTGCACCCCCCCCCCTTGAGCGCCAGGGGGGGGGGGCCCAACCTCCAAAAAAGGTAAAAATCACGTGATTTTACATGATTTTTTTCTCAAGGGGGGGGGGGGGCCCGGGCCCCCCGGGCCCCCCCCCCCCCCCTGGATCCGCCACTGGAACTTGGTACACGGTTTGATAAATAATCCAGAAAGTGATAGGAAGAAGTTGGTATCTTTTCTTGTGTAATCTTCCAATATTAACAAAATACCTATTAAATGCTTCAACAATAGATGCTTTACTAAGTATCTTATCCTGATTGTAATACATGTGAGAAGGTAATGTTTTGTATTTTTTACCTAATAAATTGTTTATTTGAGACCAGGTTTTTTTTCATATCACCTCTCAATTTTTTAAATAGGTTTTCATAATAAATCTTTTTGCTTCGGCGAATGATACTTGTGAATATGTTCTTATATTCAACGTTTTTTTCGCGTACGGGTGTCACCTTTCTTCATATAACGACAATATAACTTTTGCTTTCTCTGAATAGATTTTAAAATACCACGGGTGATCCAAGGTTTATCGTGTTTTTTAAGTTTTACCTTTGTAAGGGGAAAACATTCAAAATAAAGGGAGCTAAGCTTATGAATAAATAGATCATATGACACAGTGACATCTGTTATACCATAAATTACAGACCAGTCAATCAATCGTAGCTTATTCTTAAATAACAAGATCTTTTCTTTGGTGATTACTCTTGATTTGCCACAGAATGAATGAATAGGGACAGATATATTGTCACTTATACAAAATATTGGAAAATGATCCGAAAGATCTGAATAAATGATACCACAGTTTAAATGCATGTGAATACAGTTTGTAAATATGTTATCAATCACGGTAGCAGAATGTCTAGTTACACGAGTTGGTTTACTTATAGTAGGGAATAGCCCATATGTAAACATTATATTTAGAAATTCATTAGTTCTGTGATCAGTATCTTGATTAAGTAAATTTATATTGAAATCGCCTAATATATAAGCATCTTTATTTAGGGGATTTATTTCGACCAACAGACTCGTGAGTGTTTCGTTGAAATCATTAACATCAGTATTAGGTATTCTGTAAACACAGCCAACTATTATAGGTTTCTTTTCTCTTGATGCATTTCAATAAAGACAGTATCACAATGATTACGACTAACTGATAAATTAGGACACAGGTTATAATCAATATCATCTCTTATATATAAAGCTACTCCTCCCCCATGTTTGTTAAGTCTATCAATATGAACAAGTGAATATCCGTCAATATTAAACATATTAACTGAAATGTTGTTTCGAAACCATGTTTCAGAAATTCCAATAACTGTGAATTTGTAATCTAATGAACTAAGAAGAAGTTGTAGATCGTCGTAATTACGGACAAGACTCCTTGAATTAACATGTAATATAGAAAAATTATCTGGAGTAGATTTATATTTTTGTACAAAATCATCAGAAAACATAATACTTGCAGGAATCATTAGTTACATTGTTAGGTTGTAATATTTTGTAGAACTCAGCTCATTATTAAGTTCATTTAGACTAAGAGGATTTACGGACAGAGAGTGGTATTTGTCCTCATCGATACATTTGTCTAAGTGAAAGAAAGTAAAAATAGATAACAAAAACACATCGTTGTCTAGGTGATGATTGAAAGGAAAAATTTCAGAGTTGCAAATAATACAAAATGCATCGTCTTTGAGTGATTGTAATTTAGAACAATTCTGACAGAGTAGTTTATTACCCCTCATGAGAAAAAAGAAAAAGGAAGTGCTGCAAAAAGTGTACCAAAAAAGAAAGAAAAGAGGGAAACGACAAACAAAATACGAAGGCCAACAATAGAATGCCCATTATATTATCAAAGAAAGAGTCGATTCGTTGTCTCGACTCTTAATCCTTGTCTGAATTCAGTTCCCCCCCCCCCCCCCCCCCTCCCGCGCGAAGCGCGGAAGCTTTGACAATTCATTAAATTATTAGAGAAAGAAGACGATTCTTGTACCATTCTCGACCCTTTATCTTGCTGAATTCAGTTCCCCCCCCCCCCCCCTTCACGCGCGAAGCGCGGAAGCTTTGACATTTCATTAAATTTTTAGAGAAAGAAGACGATTCTTGTACCATTCTCGACTCTTAATCCTTGCTGAATTCAGTTCCCCTTCCCGCGCGAAGCGCGGAAGCTTTGACAATTCATTAAATTATTAGAGAAAGAAGACGATTCTTGTACCATTCTCGACCATTTATTTTGCTGAATTCAGTTCCCCCCCCCCCCTTCACGCGCGAAGCGCGGAAGCTTTGACATTTCATTAAATTTTTAGAGAAAGAAGACGATTCTTGTACCATTCTCGACTCTTAATCCTTGCTGAATTCAGTTCCCCCTTCCCGCGCGAAGCGCGGAAGCTTTGACATTTCATTAAATTATTAGAGAAAGAAGACGATTCGTTGTACCATTCTCGACTCTTAATCCTTGTCTGAATTCAGTTTCCCCCCTTCCCGCGCAAAGCGCGGAAGATTTGACGTTTCATTAAATTATTAGAGAAAGAAGACGATTCGTTGTACTGTTCTCGACTCTTAATCCTTTTTCTTCCTACGTCATCTTCCTATCCTCTTTCTCTCTCTTTCTCGCCCCCACCACCCCCTGGCTACTCACCTGTATCCTCTCTGTCTCTCATTATCTCTCTCTTTCCCACTCTCTTCTGCTTTTTTGCACTTTTGCGCTTCGCGCTTAACATTTAAGCTCGTTGCTTTTTAACGCTGCGGCTTTGCATTTGGCGCATTGCATTTCTATGATGCTGTTGATTGAATAAATTGAATAAATTCATCAATTCCTAATGAAGCCGTATGAGCGAGAATTAAATTTATACTTGTCTCATATACGGTCGTCTCATTTACTTCGTTTTCTATTTATATATGTATGTATTATGAAAATGAGATAGCAAAATGTGTATATTGATGGTCATCTCGCGAGTTATAACCATTACTACTCTCATCGGGCTCTCATCATTAATTTTTCTCTTTTTTTTTTTTTTTGATGGTGAATTATTGAGAGGATGATTGTACAGGCCATCCCCCCACCTGAAATATTGGGGGATATATCCCCCCATCCCCCCCCCGGGATCGACACCCATGCCCCTGGTTGTTATCCCATTTAAAAGAAATGCAATTCTGCATGCTTTCGTTCTCTTTCATTTTTTCCTTTCTCCTTTAACTCTAAAATATTCCCTCTTTCCCCTTTTTTCTCTCCATTTTTTGTTGTTTTTCTTGCGCTTTTTTACATATATATATATATATATATTTTTTTTTTTTGGGGGGGGGGGGGACACGTTGTGCAAGAGGGAAATCGCGTGCCCCCCGCCCCCTTTCCCGGTAAAAAAAACAACCTTCTTATAATATCTGAGTCCCCCTCTCTTTCTTTCCCCTTCTCATTATTCTCCTTTTCCCCCTTTTCTCTCCTCCATCTTTCCCTTTTCCCCCTTTTCTCCTCTCTATTCTCCTTTCTTCCTTTCCCCCTCTTTTTTCTCCTCTCCCCTTTTCTCTCCTCCCTCTTTTCTTCTTCTTTCTCTCTTCCCTTTTATTTCTGTTTCCCCTCTTTCTTCTCCTCTTCTCCCTTTTCTTTCCCCCTCCCCCTTTCCCCTCTTTTTTTGTTTTACCGGGGGTCACGTGCCCCCTGTGCCCCCCCCCCCCTGAATCCGACACTAATAAATATTCATCATAAATGGGAGCAGATGATCTTATCTGTATGAGCGCCATCTACCGTACATGACTTGTGCATTTCTGAAAAAAACACCCACACACACTACAACTGTATACAAGCGGTGAGTCAATCCTCTGGCATCCCTAGCCCCTAGCTCTGGCGTACTGCGATCCCATACATACCGTACCGGTATATACATGCACAGTATACTAATTCTCTGCAGCGAGATCTCTTGCTATTTGTTTTATACACAGTCTAGAGTCTAGTCACAGACGTGACGTTTACTTTCGCATTCGCCTCGGAAAAAGTTGCTGTCAAGTGGATTTATTTTCAAGCAGCAAATACGAACACGTTCCTCTTTTGGATCAATGGATATTCACTTAGGATTCTCTCGTTGAAGTTTCAATTAATTGAATTATCATGTGGCAATTAATAGAACATTACTATTCGCAAAACTACACTGTTTTTTGGCTGGCAGAGTTCTTCCACAGCTGGCCACACATCTCGTACAACGGGCTGAAGAAACAAGACTCAACATTCGATCCCACAAATCAAAAATATATCGAGGTACGTACGGTATGATGACTGGATTAATGTGAACCTAAAGTTACTCTTTGCTTTAATTTTGTTTTCAAACTCAATGTCATATTTATAGATTCACTCTCTTGAAGGAATTTTCTGCCACCTGTTGTCAATGTCAATTTATTTTAGTGATGCAAATGATGAGGGATGGGGCCTGGGGGAAACACATCGCAAACGTTTGATATTATTATTAGCAAGACTATCTAATCTAATGAATACTCAAATGCACTAATTTTTTTCAAAAGCTATAAAGTATAATATTAAATGCAAAGTATAATATTAGAGTCTAGATCTATATGCAAAGTAAAATGTTGTAGAATCCAGTCTTTATCTAAGTGCACCTTATTATTTTTGATTTTTGAACTCTGCACCCTCAGTTGTAATGTTTGTTGAAAGTTTGCGATGCCACAGAAATCTGGACGTATAAAGTATACCAATTGGTCCTGTCCAGTACCACCTTAGATGTAGATGAGGGAACTTGAGATTGTGGCTTTTGATTGGCAAGGCGGTGGTAGATCTAGAGCAAGTTCCTGGAAATGTTGTTAAATTGACTAGGCCTAGACCCTTCAACAATTTATTCTGAATTTGAATTGTTGAAAGAAATATGACCGACATTACCAAGACCTTTTTGTCAATTTTATGTTTTTATAATGATAGCTGTCTACACTACTCGTCTATGAGTTATGTAGAGTACTAGTTGTTAAATCAAAGACTCAGTTAAAGGCATTGCTTTACAGTTCAAGGCAGTACGGTGTACTCGTTTTATTAGTTACTTCGACGCCATGATTACTGACTGGCTATGGAACGCCAAGTGTGTAATACCTGTTCATTACGACACTACAATCCTCCTAACTTGTGGATTGAACTCAAACAATACAAATGTTTGATTTGCTCTGAACGATGAGAACAAGCATTGTATAAATAACTTTTGTCAGTTACTGAAATAATACTACTTTAGTATATCAAATCTCAATCCGAACAATATGCTTTGTATATATTGAACATTTGGTATCAATCTGAATGTCTTAAAATGTGTTACACAATAGGTTGCTTCAAATATGCAATATCATGAATACTGTCTGTTTATCATTTGTGCATAAGATCATAATAATAAATGTTAGCATTGCGTTTCCAAAATATATAACTTATGTTAAATCTTTTGAAGATACAGTATAGTTAAAGACCTTTATATCTTCTTTGTATGACATGTGAAACAAACTGTTTGAACTGTATGAACTCTAAACTTCTTTTGTTTTAAGTAAACTAAACTAACACAACAGACAATTTCTGTTTTTAACTATACAGAGAGACTTTTCTCTTTAAACTACATCACAGATAAACGTTTCTGTTTTTTCCAAAAATAGAGAGACTTTTCTCTTTAAACAAATCATATAGATCTTTTCTATTTTTCACCATACAACTTTCTCTCTGTGATATTCATACATGTACAAGAAGTGACTTTCTTCTTTACAACACAATATAAAACTATGACCGAATTCAAAGGGTTATATGTTTAAATAGACGGTGACTTTCCTTTCACAACATGAATTGCAAGTGAGTTGAATGATGTGCTTTTCCTCAAAATTAACTGTCCATGTACCAACATTGATTATTTGTCAAAAACACATTAACTTTTGTGTAAGATTTCAAACCTGTGTAATTTGTCAAACAAGGAATAAAATAACTGTTTCCAAAATGATATCTGAGACATTTTGTTTGCTTTTGTTCATTTTCTGTCTGCCTAATACATCAATAACATCTGTGATCGGAAATGAACAACAGATAAACAACAGATAATTTTATACTTTGTAAACATAAACATTATAGTGATGCAACAAATTGTCTTTGTTAAAAGTCTTTGTTTTGTTCTTGTGAGTTATACAGTTAAGTATAATAGTCATGTAGATTCCTAGGTGGAGCACGATCACGGGGTGGATTTCTTCGTGCTACCATAGGAGGAGTTTGTATTCTCTCGTTACGAGGGGGGTTTGCGATTTGTGGCAATGGTGTATCATCGTAATCTTCTGTTGCAGCATGATTGTCATGCTGACCTTTCAAGACTTTGAAGTGTGATGAGTTTCGCGTTATGCGGTAGGAGCCACGAGATGCAACAATTTGCGAACCCTTGATTGCTATGACCTTCAATGGTCTGGTGTCGAAAGGAGTGGTGTATTTACCGATATGCCCATCACGCTTCACAAGGACATGGTTACCAACTCTTATTTTTGATTCTCCGATTTTTCGATGCTTTTCCGCGTACACCTTCTGCTTCTGCTTCATGGACTTATCGCGATTGCGAATTTCGCTGTCATTTGCTGCTTGCGATTGAGGCTCAGGTAAGCGAGTGCGGATTGGACGCTGGAACATTACTGTAGCTGGTGGTGCCCCAGACGTTCTACATGTATGTGGAGTAGCTCGGTAGTTTCTCAGAAACGTGAACAGCTCTTGTTTCCAAGATTTACGCTCGGCTGTTGCTGTGCGAACAACTTTCTTTAGAACTCGCATAAATCGCTCAACTTCTCCATTGGCTTGTGGCCATCGCGGTGTGACTCTACGATGCCGGAATCCTAAGTATTTCGCGAACTTCAGGAAATATTCGCTGTTGAAAGGTGGTCCGTTATCAGTACGGACAACTTCTGGAATACCGAACAATGCAAATATGCGATCCAAATGTGGGATAACCGCTTGACTAGAAGTAGATGTGAGAATTTCAACCACTGGGAATCTGCTATAATCATCGATGATGACAAGAAGATGCTCTCCGGTTGGAAGATCTGAGAAATCTATGCTGACTTCTTTCCAAGGATGTGTTGGAAGTGCTGACATTTGGATAGGTTCACGCGTAGTTGAACTGCTTGTTGCTTGGCATGGAATACATTGACTGATCTTTTCTTCCACGCGCTTGTCGATACCTGGAAACCAAACTTTCTCGCGAATCAGCTGTTTGGTGCGAACGACGCCTTGGTGTCCTTGGTGTGCAATTGTGATGATGCGATCGCGAAGGATAGACGGAATCACAATTCTGTGATCACGGAGTAGCACTTTTCCATCTTTTGCTACACTGAGCTCATCCTTTACATTTTTGAAGCTCTGTAGATCTGGTGTAATTGAGTGCCAGCTATTCCCTTCGACAGCTTTGATACATGCTTGCAAAACAGGATCCGATGTGGTCGCTGCAATTATTTCATCCATGCTGATCGATTTAGGCACTGCGTTATCAACGATGAAGTTGATGTGCTCTTCTGCGTTTGGCTCAACGGTTGATGTGCTAGGTGACGGATGTCGTGACATATAGTCGGCCGGGTTGGTTGCACCTGGTTGGTATTCTAGCACAAAATCGTACTGCTGAAGGTGTAGCATCCATCTTTCTATTCTCGCTGGAGGAGATGAGTTAGATCTGTTGAACAATGGCACTAGTGGCTTATGGTCAGTGATGACCGTGAACTTGCTGCCATATAAGTAGAGGTAGAAGTGTGTGATTCCCCAAGTTACTGCTAGGGCTTCACGCTCGGTTTGTGAATACCGCTTCTCGACATCTGTAAGTGAACGGCTCGCTAGTGCTACAAGTTTGTTGCTTTGGTCACTGCCTTGTACTAGCATAGCACATAGCCCTACGGGACTAGCATCTACAACGACTGTGGACTGAAGACGTGGGTCGAAGTATGCCATGTGACAGTGCTGTGCTATTGCATGCTTGATGTCATTGAAGGATTTGATGTGACGCTCTTCCCATGACCATAGAACGCTCTGTCTGGTCAGATCACGAAGTGGTTCGGATAGTGATGCAAGGTTTGGAATGAATCTTGCACAATATGTTGCTAAGCCAAGAAAACTTCTGACTTCCTCCCGATTGCTAGGAGGTGCTGCCTCGATCAACGATTGGACTTTCGTGGGACTTGGTGATACGCCTGATGAGCTGAAGATATGCCCAAAGAATTCAACCGAAGATTTGTTGAACTCGCATTTATCGCCATTGAGAGTTAGGTTCTTTTCTCTCAGACGTTGCATACACTTCACCAGCCGCTCATTGTGTTCTTGTTGATTTTCGGCATATACCAATATGTCGTCACTGATGTTAATCACGCCTTGAAGACCTGCCAGGGCTGACTGTATCAGATTTTGGAATTGTTCTGCTCCGCTATTCACTCCAAAGTTCAATTTCTTATACTGATACAAGCCAACATGAGTGGAGAAAACAGTGAGATAGCGTGATGCCTCGTCTAATTCAATCTGGTGATATCCACTGTTTAGATCCAGCTTGGTGAATACGGTTGCCCCATTCAGCTTAGCTAATATGTCGTCAATGGTTGGAGTAACGTGCCGCTCTCTCTCGATAGCTTTGTTTACGGCTCGCATATCAACACAAAGCCTGATTTTGCCTGGTTGCTTCGGTTTAGGCACAACTCGAATTGGAGAGACCCATGGTGTAGGCATATTCTGCACAGGCTCGATAATGTCCAATTCCTGTAAGCGTTTCAGTTCAGCTTCGACATGATGTCTGACGTGGAAAGGTATCCTGCGATGTGGCTGAGTAACAGGAGTGACAGAACTATCCACGTGTAGTTTGCATGTGTTGCCTGCTAGCTTGCCTATTCCCACGAATCGATCGCTGAATTCGTCGATGAGTGACGGTGCTACATGAACATTGTATGTAACAGCGATCATGTGGAGCTCTTCTGCAGTGTGCAAGCGTAGTAGAGTGGGACCATTGTGCTCCGTAATGAAGAATACAGCTCTTTGCATCTGCGCTTTGTGACGTACTGGCAGAGAGATTTTTCCTAGAACATCAATGGGACTATTGGCACCAAATGCATAGACTTGCTTGCCTGTAGGTTCGAGAGGTGATTGTCCTTTGCAGATTGTGTTCAAAGTTTCTCGACTCATTATGTTCACTGACGTACCTGTATCAACGATAGCTATAGTTTTGACATCATTGATGAGCACAGATACTTTGAGCAGTTGATTACTCTCATCTGATGGACCTA